TATTAACGTAGGTTATGAATAAGTAAAACAAAGACTGGAGTGGTGGAAAGCAACAGAAAAGCATAAACAAACTAAAAGGCAAAAATCTTGAGACAATAGAATATAAAAAAAAAATAAATGCCTCTAATTTTCGCGTTCTAGAAACTACGATTTTTATTTTCGCCGGTCTTATTATATTTAAATAAGATTATTGACATTTAATCTTAATTAAGCTTGAATGACCTGAGTACCCACAATGCTAAAAATCAGAACGATTTTTAGCATCGTAGATACTCCACATCTGCCGAATTTGAAAAAAAAATTGACTATCTAATCACATTAGTCAAACAGCCGAATCATTCAAATATGATTTATTAATTTATTCTCGAAACGATTTCTGGCATTGTCGATACAGTTTCAGTCAATAAAATAATCGTGAGTTGCATCAGAATAGTAGTAGTAAAGATTATATAATTTTAATCTTTCTTGGGTAAAAATATGAAAAATTTTAATCTTCAACAAAAAAATTTTCATTTTTCATCTTAAGGAAAGTTTCCGCCTTAGGAAAAGTTTTTTTATATACATGATTGTTCTTCAAAAAAGAGTACAGATAAAAATTTTTGAGAATTTCTGACCAAAATAATTGTAACTTTATGACTGTTTCTACAAATATTTATATCTTATACTAAAAACACTTTAGGGTGCTTTCCATTTGGTGATGATATAAATCAACGCAAGTGTCGTTCTATCTGTGAGTGCTTTTCATTTCATGATAAAGTCGATACACGAATCGTGTTGTCTTTTTTACTCATAAAATATAAGAAAGTTAGAATGATGTTTGTGTCGACTGATGTATGCTCGTTTCCACCAATATACATAAATTAACTTTAATTTCGGATCCACTTACTCTTCATCTTTTTTGAATTTTTAGAAATGGAAAACACCTTTTGTTACTCACTGAATATCAAGAAAGATAAAATAATGTTTGTATCTATTTGTGTCGACTTGCATAAATGGAAGACATCGTTATTTGAATATTCTATATAAAAAAAATTGTTCATGCATAAATATATTTAAACATATGTAAACATATATAAGTATCTATATATGAAATGTGTCCATACATTCTTCTTTTTTTTTTGTAAAATTATTGTTTAATATAAGAAAAATATTAATAATAAGAAAAACAAAAAATAATTAAAAGGATAATTTTTATATTCTTTTAGAAAAAAATCAAGTTTGGAGAAATGTAAAAAATTGCTCACGTAATTATAAATAAAATATTATATATTTTTTTTCTAAAAGAAACAATACGAAAATTATCCATTTAATTATTTTTTATGTTTTTCTCTCATTATTATTATTATTTTTCTATACTAAACAGTAATTTTATAAAAAAAAAAGAATGTAAGACCATTTATGGACATATTTCATATATAATTATTATGTATGTTAGATATATACATTTATATTCATGCATGAAAAATTTTTTACCAAGTTATGTTTTTTGTTGATTTCACTGACTATAACTTGTATGGAGTTCGGAATCCTTAATAAAGAAGAGAAAAGGAGAAAGAAATAATTTTGTAGCTCAAAATATAATATCGTACTTATACAAACATATATAAAATCGTACTTAAAATCTTATTAAGTTTTACTTACAAAAAATCTGACTTAAAATCTTATATAATAAAATCTAATTATATACACAATAAGCGAAAAGTTCATGTTAACAGATTGTCAATGAAAATCAAGCAAAATCTGTTATTTTGAACAATTTTTTAATCGAATATGTTATTTAAAGGTCCCAAAATGACAAATTCTATTCGCTTTCTGTCAATTTATCATCATATTTCGTAACAAATTCTATTGACATCATTTCTGCTGGCATTCTGCCGATAAAATTCGTAGTAAACATTTTGCAAAATCTATTTTTGACAGATTTGACTATCTGTTTAAATATCGCCCTAGATTTATTGATGATACAAAAATTTCAATCTTCAATCAAACTATGTTTGAATTATAAATACAAATCTGTCATACAAATACAATCAAAAGACAAATATAGATTTTTATTAAATTATAATATAATTACATTATTTTTATATATAATATAATTATATTATAATAAAAATAATATAAAAAGTATGTAATAAAAACCTTTCTTTTAAATAATTTAAGGAAATAATACAGAAAGGAATAATATTTAAAGAAATAATTTTTTTTTAATGCTTATTAAGTTATTTTAATATAACATATTTTTATAGAAAAAAAATATTCAAAATTTTTCTCAAGAATCTAAAAAAACTGTCCTACTTTGCACAAGTTGGTTAAATAGGTCATTTTAACAAGTCACGCAATCGACTATACGCATATATGCGTACAAAAATAGTGGGGATGCGCATGCGTTGGAAAATCTTATAATCTGGGATGACTAATTGCTCAATCTATAGATTATCGTTACTTGTTAATGATAAAATAGTTGTTCTTATAAAAGATTCAAATTCAATTATTATAAATAATTTTAGAAGGAAAAATATTATTAGTAACATAGACATAAGTAACATAAAAAATATAAATAAATCCAACTGAAACTGCGTTCTCAACAGAATGAAAATACAATAATAAAAATAATAATCTCAAATATCAAATCCAATAATAAATCGTGACACTTATTAATTAGTTAGAATATAAACTATTATAGAAAACAAAGAATAATTATTATTAACAAATTCAGATGTCGGGTGCTATTACCTACTGGTACGCCCCTGATGTATAAAGACTTGCTACGTATATATAAAATACAAAAGCACAACATGCGGTTCATTCATTTCACCTGCACCTTCTGCACTCGATTCATCACCCTTTCTCTCTCTAACAGCCAAATAAATATTCATCTTCTTTCAAATGCAAAAAATTATATAGAGTACAAATATAACAAACAGATCTGTATACAGATTTTTATCTTAACTGAACAAATACATAATATTTGATAATTTTAGAAAATATATATTGTATTTATAATAAATAAAATGCTTACGTTATGCTTTTACACTTAAAATAATTTCGTGTGTAAAAATTTTTGGTACAGATATGCATCTGTAGCAAAAATTGCCTTTAAACTTTAAATATAACCATTTCTTTTAAACCAATCGTTATTTCTTTCATTATGCAGCTTCAGATTGTATAATTCTAATCCTATCAACAATGGAAAAATAAAATGCTTGCATACTCAAAAATAGTTCTTGTCGTATACTTTCTTTACCAAAAATATCAGCCTCTCAGATTTCTACAAGAAAATTAGAAAAAACCTTACGGATGAGAATACAGATCTATCTACGCGTATTATTGACACATGTATGTATATTCAGGATGTCCACGCGTTGTTTCTTTTCCCTTTTAAACAATCGACGATTCGACACGTACACTGTATAAGATACTATTAAAGAAAGTCAATTAAAAGCTGACTCAAAACCAACTAACAAGCAATCATAAATATTGTATTTACGACAAACAAAAACGAGCGTATAAAAAGTCTAGACACCGATAAGGTACTATTAAAGACGGCCAGCCACGGGTAAATTTTCATGATCAAGTGAAACCTCGGAGGTAATTGAAGAGTACAGACATTATCGACCGTTTCAACCGTTCAATATTTAATAGACGTCGGACTCTATTAGTCAATAATAGAATATTAAATTATCGCGTCATAAATGTATCCAATAGGCAAAATATTAGTAAAAAAAATAATATGCGAGCAATTTGTTGGCAAATTGAGCATAGTATTGCAAGAGATATGCACATTTATACCTATGAAGTATCTACATGGATAATAATAAATTGAAAATTAATGCATTAATTTATGATTAATCATTTAGATATTTTAATTTTATATTATCACTTTCTTTAATACATAAATATGATTTTTGCATCGAAAATATCAAGGTCGAAAACATCAAACGTCTTTAATAAAACGTTATTAAAACGTTACTATGCTACTAGTATATATATATATATATATTCGTATTCAAAAACTTTATAGAAATATATAAAAATATATTTCATAGATTTCACAATTATATTAAAATACATATATTTAAAATACTTAAGAGCGTAAAATATAACGAAATTCATTGGTTGTTGAAACATTACACATGTGAAACATTTGAATTATTATAACTTTGTTAATTGACACAATTTTTTTATATTTACTTTTATAAGAGAGATCTTCGAAAATTTTACACACAAAATTTATATTAAAGAGCTTAAAAAATTAGTCTCTTATAATTCATCTCTTATAATAATTCTTCTCTTTAAAAATATGTAAGACTAATTATAGAAAAGTAATTTCTATTGAAAAAAAGAGATTAATGTCTTCAATTTGCTGACTCGTCTCGAATAGTCAGCAAATCGAAAAGGCTATTAGTTTAACTGTAAGAATCACTTAGCAAATAAAGATTTCCAGGTACTTATTTAAGAAAGTTCAGAACAAATCATCTCGAAAGTTATTTCTGAAGTATATGAAACTTTTGCAGAAGTTCTATCAAATAAATTTATCTAATAAAAATATTTTATTTCTTTTTAGAACAATTTTATTTCAAAAAAATTTGCAAATATAATTTACACATATATTAATAAGAATTATTTCTAAGAAATTAATTACAAAAGTAATTATGAAAATGAGAAATCGGTATATATTTCAACAAAAACTTGCAGAAAATAGAAATGATTAAAATCGTGTTAAATAACTTTGTGGCAGAGTCGCATGGCTGCTATGGGATTTAAATCCCAGACCACACATATCAAATTTTATTTGATCGTCACTTTGATCCTCACCACGACAATGACAAATTATTAAGAGATCTTTGCCACGACAATCTTTTCCGATAGGCCGTTCCATGGTGGAATATTTCTTCCACCATGGGCCATTCGGTGTTAAAAACTGTAGATCCCATATATTAGTGGATATCAGATGGACATATGCAGAAGAGATCACCACTGACAAAAGACAACACACCGAGAAAAAGAAATAATTTTTTAATGCTACTAGTTCATCCGATGATCACAGATTCGGTTCAGAAGAAACTACGTTATTGGAACCTCCGGATTGGTAGGAATATACAGAAAGCGATGGTGAAATAGCAGAATAGGTCGTGGGTATAGGCGATCTTTGAGGAATCGAATCTTTGTATTTTCCTAATTCTGCTTCTATAAGAATCTCATTAATGTAATGTTTAGCCATTATACGTGAATAATTATCTAATTTCTTCAGTGTCAGTGCCACGTATTCACCATAAGTCTCATTTTCATCTCGTTGACATTCTTTTTCTGCAACAGTAGCTTTTAAAATATACATTTCACTTGAATTATCTTCATTAATCTTTCTTTTCTTTGGATTACTTAATTCTGGAGAATAAAACATTTTCAAATGTTTTCTTCGCAACGAGGTATTACACAACCGTACACTTCTCTCTGGTTCGTGTAATGTAGCTTCTATTTTCGGACATGTTATATCTGTTTCATTAATACCTTCTTGATCCTTAAGGTCACTACTTTCTTCTTGTTGACATGTTTCAGAAGTCTGAAATAACATTATCATAAATATATTATACATTATGGCTCATATTCAGAACACGCTTACAACAATGTTAGTATGCTAACATACTATATTTTACATTACACAGATTATAGAATTTCAAAGATAAAGCGCGTTATGAATATGGGCCTATAATTATTTCGATATAATTTATTTAGTAATTATTTCGATAAGTTATATTACCAAAAATTGTAATTGTATTTAGTAGTTATTTATACATAATTAATTTTATATTCTATTAGGTGTTGGAATTAATTCGTAGCGTTTT